GCGTTTTCGGACCTTCTTAAGCCGGTCTACTTGATCCTTCCTCCTTCATCACTATGGACAAATACACCGATACGAAAAAAAAAGGAAGGTGTTCAGCCTGTTCACACGGTACACGATGAGCGCTCGTCGTATATGCATCTATTCATAGATGAGACAGATGTTTCATGATGAAACAAATAACGATTAGAACTGGTTTTAACATCAGCCTACAATTGGAAAAGGAGATAGAGAAGCCGGAGCTGAAAGCAGAAAATGTATTGGCCACTAACAGCCAATCGATCCGTAACTTGGTTAGTGTAATACAAGGTCTAGATTGACCCTGGGGGACACGTCTTCATTTCAACAGTGTATACCGGTACAATATGGAATGCAAGAAGAAAGCCGTGCCCCCATAAAACAATTAGCGAGCGTTGACCTAAGAGACGATCTTTAAACTACTTGGAAATAATAACTGTAGAGGGACAGTCGCATAGAAATGTAAAACGGTTTTAGGTTTATGCAACGATCCACTGAAAACCTAAGTCAACCAATAACAATGGCCTTTGCGTTCAAGTAGGCTTAACCAATAGGCTAAAAATACGAATACTAAAATTAATATCCATAGCATAGCTAGCGCTATTGTGCGTTCCGATGAGAATCGATGCAGTCGACCAGATAGGACCGACGTACAGGATATATATCTGTATGACAGAAGTATGTTTTATGCATGAGTGACAGAATGTGGCCATAGCAAGGAACGGTATACTCATGTCCTTTTAAAGTAATTACTACGCATTATAAAATATATTATTGTTAATACATAAGCAAAAAAAACATCCAATGAATGCTGTTAATCAATTGAAGGCCGTATTACTTCACTGTACTAAGACCCAAAGGGATTATAATTTCAAATAATTTCTGCAGGCTGTAAAAAGCCATACTTTTTTCATATTTACTTAGCAAACACTCTGTCGATCGGTGAGCTGGATAAGTAATATTGGTTGGTTTTAGCTAAATAAAAAATATATAGCCTGGTCCCATCGCAGGCATGCAAAAAGAAAAAATTGTGTCGGGCTTCTTTATAAGCGTTTGCCCCTGATGTCGTGACAGAGATACGCCTTAAAATGCTTTAATATTCTGGAAGCCTGGCTAATGAACCTGATTTTGGCAAATATGAAGGTCACTTCTGCTCTCAACTTATACGCAATAATCTCTTGTACCTTACCTCCAGTTAGAGCTATATACCGCCACCTTGGCGCAGCTTACGATGCTCGAACATCGTATCGTTATAGCGGCAAAACTATATAACCATTGTCTGTGATATTGTGACTTCTCCAAGACACGGAGTTATTCTTTTACATCGTCGATTTTTCGACAAAGCAAAAGCGGATTCGATCCTAAGGGAGCATGGACCGTTGAGTTCGATTAGCGGAACCATAAAACGACCGGGTCTAGATCTTTAGTTTGTAAACGAGATCGAATACATTACGATTGACGGTTTAGATTGGGGAGTGATTGGCTGACATGTATAGTATGCGAAATTGGCCATGCAGATGCCATTTGTTTAAATTCTATAGCTAGTTTTCCCTAAATTAGAAATTCGTCATTGTTTCTCTTGTAAGGCTTTGTAGTTTAGTACTTAAAATTGCATGTCTGTTCAATCCTATGAAGAGACAAAAGTTAGGCAAGGCAGTCTATGACGCTCGCTACCAAATTAGATAGAGATAAACAGACCCATGGGTTCCTGAATCTATATCTTGAATAGAATATTATTCTATAGGCATACAAAGCATTTACCCTACAACTAGTATAGGTTATAGTCATATCGCGTCCCAAGTGCAGGATTCATATAATGTCTCTATCTAGAGTCGCTATAGACAGATTTTTTGGAATCACTTATAGAGCCATTGGCTTGAGTCATGACTTTGCAAGTGAACGCGAAATTAAACGTGACGGCAGTTTATGATCGGGTTAAACTTACACGCTGTCGCGCAGGGAGCGAGGGGCCTAGGCATGACAGGCCAGGGTGGCGGGAAAATGATTTGCAGACCTGGGACGACATACCCGGACCTTTGCCACTTAATGAGCTTGGCGAGCTACCCCGCACATGCGGGGCGTTTTCTAGAGCGGCAATACTACCTATAAAGAAATACATTCTACAGGAAGTCTGTTGCTGTGAAGTGATGGTAAGCAGTAGTAAATGTATCCACTATTTTCCGACTTGCATTTTTCCGTCGTCTGAAGTATTCGAGTGGCAAGGTGGCGCTTGCCTCGCCGGAGCTCACCGCGCAAGCTTATGTCTAGTTGCCAATCTCTATGCTCCAAAGTATATACATTTGTGATTACAGATTAGCTCGCGCCTGGCATGATTCGAACGAAAGAGAAAGCGAAAAAGAAAGAAGGATAGGCATAGATACGCGAAAGGCCATAAAGTTTTTGCACACTCACTAATGGATGCACGAGGTGTTTAGAGGGTTACTATAAAATAAACATGCTGCACTGAATGAATCTTTATTTGATTTCCAATCGTAAGGGAAAATATATGGAAAGCTTACTAGCTGTTTGATTGACATGTGTTCCTAACTTTTCAGACCTTGTAAATTCACCTGCCGATTTCATGGTGCACATGCAGGCATGATCCATGAAGCGTGCCATGCCCTGTATACGTTTCTGCTTTAATAACGGCCAACGATCATGATTACCTAATTTAGAACCTATGTGACTAACGATGTGTTTAGAAACAACGAAGGAATAATGACTTTTTTTTTCATATATAGTGCCTCGTTACCCGGCGCGATATTGAGTTACGAAGGTTAACTCCAGTGTTAGTATCCTATAGGCGTTCGACGTTAGCTGATTTACGTATGACGTTGTCTCCTTATTGTTTTATGCCCGCTTCCACCTGTACTCGCAGACCCGTTATAATCGCTATAGTGCTTGGGCTTTATATTTAAATATCTATATACAACAAACATTCATGCATATGCTTGCACTCGCTTAGCGGAGACTGTCCTCGAATACACTGGATCCTGCTCACATTCATCTATTTTTTTTTTACTCTACCTTTCATAAGATATTTATTTAGAAAAACCTAAAGCATAGTGAGAGAAAATATTATCGAATTAATTGGATTTAATCTATTTGCTTGTAACTCCATCTGGGCCTGTGGTAGATAAGACATGATCTTCGACAACGGTAAATGTTTAGAATCATCAATTCCTATAACCACGTGCACAGTTCTTTTTGAGAAGAAGGGTACCTTTTTCAGTTTTGTTGAGTGACCGACTGTGTCGTACAGAATCATTGTCTTTAGCAGATCTCTTCTCGAGAATAAATGAGCCATTCGGCTGTATAATAAAAGAATCTTTGATGAATACGCGGCTACAACGTCGTTCTCTTCATGGTTATACCAGTTGTTACTACCAAAGGTAACAGGTAAGTTAGCGGTATATTTTAAAAGTAACTGAAGTTCCATCAAGAAATCTAATACAACGAGTAACAGCGGACAAGTAGCAAGAAGCAAACACTATCTATCTTAAATTGAACGTTTTTATCCGTAATTTCTCTCTCGTCTATAATTTTGGCGCGCTTGCTTTATGCCTGCTTCAAAAAAAGTCAGGGGAATGTTAAACCTAACCTGAGATCTACCTACCTGAGAGTAGATCTCAGATTAGGCTGCTTTGTAGCCTATAGTTCACTAGTGTTTCTATCTATAGTAGACCGCTTATATTCACTGCCTGATCATATCAGATCAGCATATAAAATCGCCATTTGAAACAAATGCATGACTCATTTGCGCTGCGTACGCTTTCAGTACACCCCGTGAGATAATGGTGTCCGTGCGTCGAATTGTGTTGCTAAATAATAATAAGAACAAAGCTGAAAACATTGTGATGATTTTTAAGACAGGTACGTACAATTATTTTTTGTGCCTGGCTAGTTCAAACATCCCCATGCTAGCCAATGGCAAAATGAAATGTATACTGAACTATATCAGTGGTCATATAGTTAATTTGAATGATACAACGGTTCTACCAATCAAGCGTATTTGGACCTCTGTGCGAATGGTCCACTGGCAGTCGTGAGTTGCTTCCAGCTATATGCGCAGAGACATGGATTAGAATGAGGGGCAGTTTCCTTTTGGGCGTATTTGCTGATAACAGTGCCACGAGTCCTCGTACACACGAAAAGTTAATGTAGCGAGTATTCCTTGCAGAAAGCTTCTTTGCAAGTGTTCTCCCGCGCAGGCTCTACGCGTTACAAATTGCATTTCTGTGAATATTTCTACTCTTGATGGCCGCCCCTTTCTCATTGTCTGCGTATTGGCCTGTTCCTACGGTGCGATTAACTATCGATTACGATCGATCGTGGCATCGTTTTCAGTAAAATGTCCTTTCGGAAAATTTAGTCCAAAGTATGCTTTGGTAATAAAGCAGTTTGTTGGGGAAGCCTGCATCTGTGGATGTTTTTGATGATGCACTGTTTATATATCATTTCGTTAATGCAGTACGTTCTACTATGGACTACGAGCTCAATTACGACAGAGTTGATTTTCTATATCTTAACATTTAAAGTAAAGTAACCGACACCTCTATTTAGATAATAGCACTTCTATTCTATAATAATGTGATATTCTACAGGATAAATATCTGTTGTGTGTGGGAATCTGTTATTAAGAAGAAAGAAACAAAGCTTTTAGTAATATGCAAATGACGTTATATATTACTGTGTCACCTTGAGCATGTGTACAATCGACGGAAATACCCAAAAGCAATACTACGGCCTGAGGTCCTTTTTTTCGGCTTGGTCTGACCCAGAGACTCTCATTTAATAGAGTTGTACCAAGGCGTCGATAATTTTGTGTCTCACCGAAAACCTAGCACCTTTGAATATATATATATATATATATATATTCAAAAGTGAAAAAATTGAATAAAAAAAATTTGAATATACATATATATATAGAGAGAGAGAGAGAGAGCCGAATATCATTGCTCATTTATTCTAATTATATTTTCTAGGACTATGAGGTGGACCTGTATCTTCGACAACGGTGGTACGATGGCCGACTCGCAAAAGTGAACATCTCAGCCCCTCTTGACCTCAACGACCCGAAGCTCGTGCAAAAAATATGGAAGCCAGAAGTGTTCTTCGCGAATGCAAAACATGCTGAATTCCAGTTTGTAACGGTACCCAATGTATTGGTTCGGCTGACTCCTCATGGAATGATACTTTACATGCTAAGGTAAACTGCCCCATTTATTAAGCTTACAACATCTTTCTAGCTTACGGCAACAGTTTGCTTGGTAAAACCTGAAAAAAACGCATCGATACAATCAATTCAAGGTGCCAAGAAGCTATGAAATGCAAGCTTCACTGGCATCTTCTTAAGTAGGGGATATGATACAATGGATCGAATGAGGATGCTATATGCACCGAGTCGATACTGCCGATACTCAACCACGTACATATAAACCGACTAAAATCGACAAAATTTCTTTTTTTCTGTTTTGATACGCTGTAAGAAGCGTTTAAATATGAAGAATCAATCTAAACGTAATCATATGCCGTAATATCGGTACGCTGCTATTCAAAGCGTTTCTACTTTCGGCCGTATCGGGCAAATGTTATTGATAAGCACAACAGAAGCCAAGTAACTGACGCTCACGGAAACGTAAAAGGTTCTATAATAGCAAACTTAAAATCGAGTGCAGCTATGGACAGAGCTCAGAGAGGCGTGGCTTTGTTAAATGTTGTTACATATTATTCTGCGCAATGCCGTCGATGTATAGCTGACTTTAGCATAGTGACTCTACTCAAAACAAGGCTTCTACTCATTATGCTACTTTTTCATCAGTGATGAAGATGCGTTAGCGGCAATAGGCCGTATCCATTTTTTCGAAAGAAGCTGCGATTGCCGAACCGTTGCTTGCTGGCCTGTTTCTCAAGACAAGGCTCCCCTGAAATATGAAGGCTGACAGAATCCTGCTATGAAAGTACCGTCGACATGTCCGTCGAAAATTTGTTCGCAGATCCCATAGATACAGTACTAAATGTATGTAAAGAGCCGAGATTTGTAAGGCAATCGAAAGAAACACTCCTTATTTACGTACAGAACACTTGGCCTATATATACATAGATATAGGACAATTGCTCTTCCATAAGGCATTCTTGTTTCATTTGCCCGTAAATGTTCAACGTTTGCCTGAACGTCTATCTCCGATTTGATTTCCATTGCGTCATTTATTTGAGCTATTAATATTATATTGCATTATGAGCTATGTATTCTTATTGAAGCTAGTCGGCAAATCAGCGGTTCGAAAATAAACTTTTTCGGTTTGCGCATTTGAGAAAACTAATAAACTTCACATACACTACTACGCGTCAAGATAGCAGGTCTACAATTTTTTTCCACTTATAAGGTTACCCTCACGGTTGTTCAGTTCCGCTGTCTCCTTGATTGATTTACTGCATTTTCCTGGTCCACTCAATTGGCGGGTCGCGAATGAATCGATAGAGGCTTTCTGCAGCATCCGGCGAAACATTCCGTACTGTTTATTGTTTTCTATTTGAATGATCATATTGCTAGCTGTTTCCCTCTCACGTCGACATACTTCCTCGGCTTATCCACACTTCCTCTATATAGACATATAGAGTCTAGGCGCACTGGACTGCGGAGGAACACGTCGCTGCGCGTATTGAGCTGTGGGATCTAATAAAAGACGTGGGTTGAAAGTAGACAACGCGTCGTTTGTTTGCCGTTATTACGCTTTGTCTAGTTGTGGATAGGGCACCAGTTACACATTCACGGCTAGATCATTCTAGTCGCATCTAGAGCATTAGGTAATGGCCTGTGCTCTATAGCGCAGGAAGATTGTGCGGTCGCTTCTTCTTTTTTTTGCGACTTGCCGCCTACTGTTGCGTTGCCGGCCTCAGCCAGCGGTTGGATTCGCTACAAACGGACCGATCGCCCCCAACAAGGAGCCTAACTCTGCTCCGTGGACAGAGTGCCCCTAAAACGCCAGTTTTCACCCAGTCGAAGTCGCTCGTTTTGATTAGTTCGAGTGATGCCCTGCACAGGATGTTCCTTTGTTTCCGATATCGTACGTCGTTCGACAATAGATGTGCTCGCTCAAATAAGTGAGGGCGCTCCGTATCCTCCGAGACCTTTGCACGACGAGGGAAGGAGCTATTCTATTCCAGTAACACTTGTGTGACAGAACTAATTGCGCGTATGACACGACATTATAGAACTTTCATTTTCAAAGAAGTACGTAATATGTCTAGCGAAGACTAGGGTAATGTAGTAACAATGTCTTATTCACTGACAGGGACGCTAGAAGCGACTGTTGCGAATGCGAGCGAAGCTTCAGTGCAACCCTTATCAATAATTTGGCTATCGCACCATGTCATCTATACGGCTATCGACAACCCATTCTTTCCATTATCCGCTTTGTTGTAAATGAAGGGATGATCGAAGGAAAGCTTGCCAGGTCCAAAATGCTGTGAACTATAGGATTTGTCCCATGGCTTCTGTTCCGAGGGAGTTTTGTTCATTTTCAGTCAGATGACATGGAAAGAAATAAAATCAGCTTTTTAGAGATGAGTTCTAATACAAATGAGGAGAAACGTTGGTCGACCTACAAGTGTATCAAGTTCATAGTACTACGGAGTATTCATTGACTGGACATCAGTTTATCCGTTAATTTATCTTTATTTCACATTGTTGAGTGCGCCAATATGTGAAGAACGTCTAATTTATGATAGCGATAGTAATAGCAATGACTAATATTTTCCTAATAATTTAAATACGTTTCCCTCAGAGATTTCTATTTCATTTAAAGAATCCACAACAGACATGGGTTCGTGCTTTATCTCGTACATGCATACCCGTATACTATTGTCATTCTTCGTCAGTGACAATGGCGAGGCAAATATTTGCAGACAAGGATACGGTTACCACGCCTTGATCGGATATTTCCACAGGGATCATTGGCTGGCTTGAGCTAAATTTCGCTGGAATCGTTGCGTTTAGTGATCAGGATGCAGTACAGCTTAATAGTCATTCATTTTCTGATTTTTCCCTATCGATATCCTCAGCTCGAGAGCCGAATGCAAATACGCTAAATAACTTCTACCTTAAATCTATCTTTTACCTATTTAGACCTAAAGAGAAAAACCTTCAAGTGGAAGGATAAATGAAGAGAGTCGTGTGGCGTTTTACGACAACTTTCCACTAAAATTGGAGACTTTTCTGCTGAATAAATTCTGCCCATGTTAGTCTTCATTTGCGACACACTGCGGTTTCCTAGTACATTATTAGGTCGCGAAAAAATTGATTAGTATATTAGCACTCGCGAAAGATCAGGTAGCACTTCATAGGTACAGCGGGTGTACACTGATGTAGTGAGAAGAAGTTCCTCCAGAAACTTTGAGCGCGCACGTTTTATTTGCTGTTTCCACAGCACATCCATTATAAACTGTCGATTTTCTCTAGCTATTCAGTTAGATATAACTACTCTGCTAATTACGACGAAGTATCACAGGCTGTGGTAGAATAGAAGCATCGTTTCTAAAGTGTTTTATCATAATTTGACTGAGATAAGCTGTGAATGCCATTTTGATTTAGTACTAATAGACAGTATCTGCGGAATGCCTGTTCATTATTTACACTGTCAGTTTGTAAACTACTATTGCTAAGCCACTGCCTAATCCAATGAGATCACATTGCTAGTTATGCATGCACGTAATATGCACGTTCGCATAGCAACGCAACAGATTTTGATTGCCCCTCGTGCATGTTGATCTACTTATTATTGTTGATCTACTTATTATTGTTTAACTGGCTTCAGAAAAACGCGTTCACAAATATGCATCGACCCCTGTTCATTGAGGCAACGATGCCTAGTGCGATTAATTGCTTGCAATGATCCCAGTTCTTAATAAACGTAATAACATAATATTTACCCTCGACCGATGCCCTTAGTGTCCGGAGCTTTTCGCCACAACACAGTTCGAAATTATTCTAAGTTTCCGAAGCATTCATTCAGAATCATATCAGTCTATAATGGTACTAGAGTTCAAGCATTATTTCGGCCAGGGTTATCCGATGAGATTCAGGTCGTAGGATAGTTACTTGTCAAATCAGTTTAAATGCAGCGTCATCTGGCTTCCTAATGTCTTCACCCATTCCATTTCTTTGAATACGTTAATGAGGTAATCGTGCAGCCACGTTCGTTCAAATCTTCGCGCCACGAAAATTATTACCATAAATTAATAACGATTATGGGAAAATAATAATAATTATTAGCAAGGTTTCACATAATATAATAACAATAAAGGAAGGTATCCTGATAGGTTTAGAACGATACACTCCGGTTAAATTTCCAACTGGGGGCAACCTCTTGATTCTCAACCTAAAAGAAGTTGATTCCGAATATTTGCTGACGTAGACAAAATAACTAAGTATGCCATCGTAAAAAAAATTAAAATAAAAAAAATAGCGCGGTATGACAAGCGATTGACAATTATTAATCTTAGTGAATGCATACGGAATGGAGCAATAGTCTCTTGACAAATCGTGAATTTTCACTCTAGATCTGTTAAAGTAGTACAGGCGCAAAGCGCGATAATAATTATAGCTAAAAAATCAAATGTGAAGATTTATTATTTCTTCATACTGTCAAAAGGTTTTACCCTTTTCTACATGTTTGCTGATAGCGATGTGATTCGCCGATGGTGAGAGTAATCTAAAGTAAATGATTCTTGGGAAAGCTCCTTTTATATTCTAGTTCGTAACCCCAGCGAAAGGTCAGATAAGCAAGTGATAGGTCCTGTGCGTCGACTCTGTATACAGCACGTATATTATATCTCGCTTTCTACGCAGTAACAAAAAGTATCTGGCAGCAATATTGTCCGCGTGGGGGCGTCCCAGTGCAGGGCTCTAATGCGCATATACGTATCGTCAAACACTTGACACAGGCAAAAGCGGACGGAAAACGCCCCCATAACATGAATAGCATTGTACTACCAAGTTTTCTAAATGACCATATATAATGATCAGCACAGTGTGGTAGGTGTAGCGTCCGGTTTATTTGCTCCCGACTAGGAAATCATAAATTAAGCAACCCTGTTCAGTGAAACTTTACATAGTCCTTACCTGAACAATGACCAGTGGGTAACTAACCCTCTAATAATGGATTTTCATCATTCGAAATTGTTATATAGAAATAAACATGTTGTTATTAGGTAAAATATTCTGTTATTATTGTAATTATAATTGTTTGCTTGTGTAACGGAATTGAGATCGATGTGCAAGCCTATCGTCACATAGTTTATAGAGATACAACTTTTTATTAACAACAATCAGTATCACTGCCGCTAAACCATTTTACTTGAAGTTGTCGTTCGACTCTTTTTGATTCTCCTTTCACAGGTTAAAGTTGACGTTTTCCTGTATGATGGACCTCTACCGGTATCCCCTTGATGTGCAAACCTGCACTATCGAGCTCGCGTCGTGTATGTACATATACTTCCTGTACGAAACAATAACATAGATTACATGATTTGTCGATTACTTCCATAAGCTCCATAAAACAAGACTCCCGCTAATAGCATCTCAGAAGAGGTGGTCAGTCAATACCAGATACTTTTGTGAGTACATTGTCAATATTCTTATGCTAGGTTTAAATAGTCACAGTCAACGATGTATACGTTCCTGTACCACTGGTGCTTGAAAATCAGGAGCAAACAATAAAAGTACCATACCAAAAATTGATTTTGAAATTTATCTCAACAAACGATAGATGAGGTCATTTAATGGAAAGGTCACATACGAAGGAGGTTAATTGTTATTTATATTTCTTCCTTATACTAGAGCTTGATGTGTATCTCACTGCTAGTGTGAAAACAACGGTATCCGCTTAGACAATAACAGGTATAGGGCAACACAAGCAATCTGTGTTTCTTCATTACTAATTTTTCTATTTGAATTTGTTTATCTATACTAAATGTCTCACAGACTGTTTTACTTTTGTCGTCTTTTTTTACACTGTTATAATGTATCACATTCTTTGCGCACTGCACATGGGATGAAGCGGGAAGCAGCTAGAAGGCGCCAACCTACGTTGTTATTGCTAGTTGCTTTTTCTATTTGTCGCGCCAATGAACTTACATATTCGAGTAAGGCACGGTAAAGCAAAGTTTGCGTCTAGTAGCATTGTGTTCTATCGTGTTTTAGTATCTGCTGTATTGTGTCAATTGAAGTCAAACATCGCATGAGGCAAGAGACCGTGCTTCGCACCCTCGATGATACACATTCCCACCTCAGTGCTCTCGCTTCTCTTCGCACTTTCTTATTGTGTTTCTTATTCTATTTGTTTCACCATTGCTGAAATTTTTGGCCAGCTCAATCCTCCGCAAGTCTTTCACCCTATCTGATTCTTTGGTTGCAGTCTCGAAGACGACCGACGAGTTGGTCCTGCACTGGTCGGAGCGGAACCCCATCATCCTGTTTGAGAACCTAAAACTGCCCCAATTTGAAATTCAAAATGTCAGCACCTCGCTTTGCAACGAGACGTTCTATCTCGGTGAGTAATCATTCGCCGCGCAAATGTCAGTCATTCAGACCGTAATTCCGCATCCCACTGCTCGAATGACGTTCGTATGACGGGGCAACTTTAGTAACTTGAACCGACCTTGACCATCAGTGCGTAACGGTTTGATGTCGTATTGAAGAATTTATACCTGAGTCCATGAATACGCTCCCATTCTTTGATAAAATGAAAGAAATGACCGCACACGTCGTCGGCAACAAGGACGGTCAACGAACAGATAACATTACATAAGAGCAAGCCGAAAAGATCACTCTGTGTCTGATTAGATTGATGATGGCCTGAGCAAATTGTATAGACTAAATGTACGCGTTGTAGACGTTCACAGTATGACATCAAGGTCGAGTGAATCTGTCGCGCGGATACAATGGCTTTTCGAGCTCTGCTTTTATACAGCCCGGTTTCTTGCTGCTGATTCTGTGTACACTCGTGCATGGAATCTTTATAAATTCAAGTGTAAAACGTACTTATCTTTTTCTACGGCTTAAACCACGCATCTTGCTGTTACAACAACTCCTATGTAGGTTACTATTTTTATACATATAGCTACAATCCATATAGCTGAAATTCAATTCAATTCAAAACTGCTACAACAAGTATCTAGATAAAATTATCTCGTCCAAGTTTAGCTCATCATAATAGCTCTGCTCAAGGCTTTCGAGAAATCCCATCGACTTAAACTGGATAATAAGAAACGTCATTTGAGTCTATGACACCTCCGAGATGCAAAAGTATAGCGTCAAAGTACTGTCGCGTACTATACCTGCCATAAGCAAATTATATATGCATTTATGCGTTTGGCTTCATAATATTCGACGTTCTGTCTTGAAATAGGTTATCTAGTGGCATCAAAGCAAGATGAGGGAAAATATTGGGAACCTAAGTGTCCGAAGGCTGCAGATGCGCACAAACGTACAGCTCCGTACATGCATACAACCGCCATAAACTACCAAAGCTAATATCAAATTGTTGTCAGTTAAAAGTCAGCTTCACTAACGTTTACCGTGCTACTCGTAACGTTACCAGGAAGCTAGCAAGCCTTCGAAGATTTCAGAAGCTGCCCGTAAATCCAGTTTGGCGTAAAATGATAGTTTTTAGCTCCAAAGCGCTTCAGAGGGTCGAGCTGCCACTCGTTTGGATATGGCTGTACGCAACAACTTCATGGCCGCACACAACTATGTAGAAATGGTTTTACACCTTTTGTCGAACAATCCTCCAAGTATCTACACATAACTGTAAGCAAGCATGGAGTTGCTCCAGTGTGTGCGTTAGAGCATCTGGCCCTGTAATCTTTTCTGCTTGGCTTCCCCTTGGTCCAAGAACCACGACGGTCTACAATGTGATATTCTCTCGACGTCCAGAGCAGCCGACGGACTCAGTTCTATAGTATTTGGAACGTGAATAAGTGCTAGCTGTGCAGTGAAGCGATCTAGAACTTTAGCAACATCTGATCTTTTTTTGGATCGTTCGCCTGCCCGTCGGCCTCGTTTATACTGTCTCAAACCAAAATAGCATATGGGTTCGTGACTACCCTCTACTTTTTGAACAAATCGGGTACCATCGGACACCCCATCTATGCGTATCACATACATCTAAATAGGCGGGAATCTATAGTGCAATAAAATCTCGTCCAAATATGCGTATGATACAGGTCTCGTCCAATATTAATTTTGTGATATTGCAATACGTCTATGGAGATCGCGTCTCCATTCGTTTGCGAACCTGCCGGCGAGTGGCAAGGGGCGTCGTGGAGGCTACCGAGCTGAATCGGCGCACGCGTTGGAACTACCGGTTCTTCAATGCCGTAGTGAAATATATAATAATAATATAGAATGCTTAGAACGTAATGTAGAATACACGGTGACCGCATTGTACGTGTCCTTGAAAACACACTCTATGTATTCACTTGTTTTTTGGTGGAAAATCTATCAGCAAAAAGCTGAACTATAAAAATAAGGATAGAAAAAAGTTTAGCTCGAAATTAGGCATATGTTATACTCGATGGCGTTTTGAAAACTTGCGAAGATAAAGATGGAAAAGGACATTAGTGAAAGCACGAGGAGCCTAAGCAAAATACTATTCTTGTTGGACTGGCTCAAACTTCATCATGTTCAGTCTTTTTTTAAAGTTAATTGTCATTTAAAAATTCAGTCAGTCAGTCAGTTCAAAAATGGCAGATATCATTGATGGAAATGGAGCCATCGGTCTCTGGTTCTTTCAGTCAAATGCTTAGCTGTATAGTTTTTCTTGAAGCAGGCTCAGTCTTCAATATTCAAGGCTCAGCTTGAAGCAATCATTCATTGTATTCAGTATGTACTAATTAATATATCGTGCAGTTAACCGAAGCCAGAATTCAAGGTGAAAAAATATATGGGCTTTTAATAAATTTTGAAATAGTGGTTTTTAATTAGACTCTTAAATCTCTCTATCTCTATATATATATATATATATATATATATATATATATATATATATATATATATAGAGATATATAGGTTACTTATTGGATGTGATAATTACATTGCATCTACTTGACAACTGTGTTCTACGTATGCTATTTTATGAACTAAATAGATACCACAATTCCACTAACACATATCGGTCACGATTATCTCTTAGGTTTTTCTCTCACTACTTGGCCTTAATTTACCTTACGACCTTTCGTAAACGACATATCATAGAATTCATATATATATTTACACTTAAGGTTCTGTTGTCGTTTGTGAGGGATCTGTGCAGATAACGCCTATTACAGTGACAGAGGCTACTTCAAACTGATTAATGAAAATTCTGTAATGATAAACGGTGCTTGGAGAGATGCGGCAGTTATTCGTTTCGCCAGACAAAATTTTACATAGACAGTAAAACCAACTTGGAGATCGAAAGGCACGACGATTAGGTCACCTGAGATGAGAGTTGATCTTTAACACATGCGTTATACGTTGCGAGACCTGTACTCCCCTCAAGTCATGCGCGTTCGTAAATGTCGACCTCGTCGATTCTTCCGTTCTATGCGAGACGTATAGATTTATGTGGTAAGGATACCACCATCGAGCTTTGTTTCAAAGCTTCTCTAGCTCTATTTCTTCTGAACGCGCCTAGGTATCTTCTGCTACATTGCAAACTTCACACATTGAACTTACCTGCACGTGGCATATTTGAGAAGCCCCAAGTTTTATTTTAGAAATTTAATTCACGATCAGTGATACTGTACGAGTCATAAAAAAAAAAATAGGTGAAATAATATCAACTGTATACAAGTTTAAGGATAAACCAAACATGTTAACGAATCAAGGTACATTGCGTCATATTGGGCACTGCTGTGAATAATTTATGTTGCAATGCGTTGTAATACCAGTTATCAACGTACTTTTCTCCCTTTCGGTTTCAGCTATCTCAAATTATGAGCCGGCAATTCTTCTTCTGCTTTTTTCATTGTAGCCCATAGCTCATGCCCACCCTGTTCGATCGAGCGACTGGGCCGCTTCTTTAACGGAATCTTTACATATGTGAATACCGTAACTTTCCGCAATGAAGGCCCGCTCCCCTCGCTCCTTTGTTGAACGTCGTCCAGCTTTGTCATGCGCCTTTTGTGTAACGCGGATTTTTACGATAACGACCGGTGTATTTGTTCAATTTTTGCTTCGCTTATAGGCGAATATAGTTGTCTAAAGGCGGAATTTCACCTGCAGCGTTCAATGGGCTACCATCTAGTCCAGTCTTACCTGCCCACTGTGTTGATTGTCGTCATCTCTTGGGTGTCCTTCTGGTTAGATGTAGAAGCTATTCCGGCACGCATCACGCTCGGAGTAACAACTCTACTGACGATCTCGTCAAAGGTCAGTGTGATAACGAAGTGATAGTTAATTGAAATAAGCATGCGGTATAATAACAATGATAACGGTAATTCTAACTATGCATTATATGCATACGTAATGTTATTCCAATGATAACAATACTTTTAGTGTTTATCGTGCAACAGTAGACGTTCAAGCATTCATTACTAATATTGGCTCACTTTGGAGAAACAACTTGCTTGTCTGTAGCGGTACAAACGTATACCGTAAATATTGTACGTGTCGTCCTATACATTTGTCCAGGGTAGGCTTTGTTAAGGTTGTGAGGTCAAATTTAAAGCCATGAAAAATATCGAACTTCATTATTTAGATACGTACGTATTAAATGACTATCATCATGCGGCATTGTTTTTTCAGAATCTGGTTATTAGCACATATATAATATATATATATATATATATATTGCTGCTGACTAAAGTAAGAACCTAATAACGATGACTTTTTTGTATGACATAAAGAGGTTCGGGATAGTCTGTTTCTTCTTGCACAGTCGCAGTTCTGTGTTTGACTCCGACAATCTCTCGCTTCGCAGGCCGGATGCTGTTGTACGTGTCTACGTGCCTCTTGATTTATCCTCCACTAAGTTTTAAAACATGATTATCGCGCCCTCGCCATTTAACAGCGTCCCATTTTCTATTAATGGTTGATTTTTAATGGATTAGCCCACCACAACACACAACCACATGGCTCTATTGAGCCATGTGCGAACAGACGAAACAGAGACCTCAAGCACTTATGTGCCCATGCAGGCTTGCCATTATGTAGTATTGTATGATACTAAACTGCACCGCGCGCTTCTTCCGAGAAGACATGCGTAAACACCAAAACAGCGATAGCGTCAACAAGCCGCTCGAACATTTTTCCTACCTATGGCACCCATATCCTACGATAAAATTCGTAGGATATGGGTGCCATAGGTAGAATTATGAATTCGGCCTATGGCGTATTTATACTTTACGATTTGTTTACATATTTGAACTTGCTAATAACAAAAATCAATAATTTACAATGACAAGCTATGTATTTTAGTGGCATTTTTGTATCCGGTATGTTCAGCTCGGCAATGTTATCAACTGTTTCGGGGAACTTCAGTCATCATCTTAAAAAATTTCTATGCCTTAACAGATGGCAACGAATTTTGTCGAAATGGCGTTTCTTCGTTAGGCCAGGGCCACCTGCCGTACTAGTTGCAGCTAATTTCAAGTTTTACTCGCTCGGTCCAAATGGTTGTGGAAAACATTGCATATGTAGGAAAAGAGAAATACTCAGACGACCCTTTAATGATTTAGTTTGTCGCCGCCATCAACGACATCAAATGCTACGCATAGAGGTGGTACTGCAAAGCGTAGCTCTACCTAACGTTAACAACCGTCCCGTTTCGTATTATCGTCATTGATCTTCCATAAGATTTCAATATGTGACCTATCGGCCGCGAATGGCTCTTCAGATATTTTCATTCACATTCAGCATACTCGTCAACAGACCAAGAGCGGTATTCGGTGATTAGCGCGACTATAAACTGAAATCTCTGTATCAATGTCCCCTTCAAATATGAAAACAGAACACATTTTTGTACAAACCGGAAATCGCTATAAACACCTACAGATTTTAGATGAAAACTCTCGTGTAACAGGGACTAGACAGTGTTACGAATGAACTGTTTGCGTAAATAGGTAAATAAAGACTTGCCAGTGAGTTAGATAGAACTAAGAGTCGACGAACCGACCTACAACTATCGACATCTTTTCGAAATTGTCCTATTGCTGTTTTGCTGATGGCCTTCTGCAACTAAAGCGATGCATCTAACTTCATTTTCATTGAGTGCTATCTGTGTTTTAACAAATGCTTCAAATTCTCGCGTCCGGCTAGACATCGTTTGATTTTCAGCAAAAACAAAGCTTATTTATGCCCGTCTCCGAATCTGAATCACTGATCAGTAAGCAGACGATCTCTGACCACGACAAAATGGCCGCTGCTAGATATGAAGCTGCAGCTATAGCTGCAGGTTGAATCTACCTAACCTAATAAATTCTACGAGTGGCAAGACAATAGCAACGATAAGCATGTATTTTTTTCTAAAGTAGTATATTTGTTTAATAGTATTCCGTAACTGCATACTATTGCATACTGCCAAGCGCCTGAAGTGGGCCCCAACATAAGAATTCATTAAGCAACACTTTGGTAAGGTTTGATCTTCAACAGCGGACTGACAAGCTAGCAGATAATGTAATGTGCCTTTGTTTATTAGGTGTGCGGTACATTTTTACAAGGAACCGGGTGCCAATTTTCGTTATTTCGATGACTGTTGATGGATCGGTCAGCATAACCGGACGACTACTCAGAACACGACATAGTATTCCAGCATGTTCAACTGCCCCTATTGGTTTATTGGTATTATTCTACGATTTAGGAAAGAGTGTTAGGCAGCTAAATTCGAATCATTAAGATTCTTTGCGCGTAGCTTCGATGAACTTTGTCGTTTTACGCATTTAATCACTTTTTCCCGTATCGACAGCACTGGCTTTTCTAGCGATCACCTGCTGGCTTTCGACTCTCTCTCTCTCTCTCTCTCTCTCTCTCGCTCTCTCTTCTAGTCTAGACCCATGCGAAGTCCTCGATTGGGGTTTAGGAATGTTGAATGCCCCCCACTTCCCTTGTACAAACTGCACGATGATATTAGATTATGCGCCAGGAGACTGCTCTTTGTAATGGGCTTAGGCTACCTAAGGTTTATTTAGCATTAGCATAGTATTATCATAGGCTACAGTAGGCACAAATAGACCTACCTCCTCATCAAAGACGGTTGGAGTTTGATAGGGCCCATTTTAGTACAAGTTATTGCCCTGTGCCGAATGTTTCTGTTCTAGCTTTAAATAGCGCTTTCATTCAGACCTTGGCCCCCGCATGTTTGCACTCGTCCTTTTGTCCTGTTCTCTTCGCTTAAGTATTAAGTGTTCTCGACTCATCAACTTCTCCTGCGCATGTCGTGTTTGTTCACCTATTTCTAGCAAATATCTGTACCACATTAATAGTAATTTTCTGTAACTCCCCCGTTATTACCATGAAATCTGTAATTAATAGCAACAGTTAGTTAATAGAAACTACCTTCGGGTTCCAACATTAGTTATACTATGATTTCATGTTCATCGCGAAATAGTTCTTAAGGTGATTTTTTTTAACTGAACCTTTTCGACTCCCTTTTTCCGGCCTTAGAGAAAGCATCATTTTACCTAGGCGTTGTCTGGGCTTACCGTAGGAAAGCCCTTGCTTACGTTTAAGAAATATTTAGTTAAACCCTTCGCTCCTCTTTTCGAGCTCGATGTATAATTTTTGTAATGAAAACAGGCAGTTTTTCATTCTATCACTCTGTGTGACCTTAGTATCTGACAGTATGTGATTCCATTAACGATAAGTTATACTACGAGCCATACTTAGGTCGTTCCTTGAAAGTGTGTGTAGTCGATTCATTTACTGAAGTTTGCCCCATACGTTCCTTTCTAAAACGATCTGGCCGTCAGCAAAAAGAGTATGCATCCATTCGCGTTTCTCTGCTATTTGGTTGAAATCAAAGGAGATTCATCCGAAAGCATCGACAAGTGGGGTTAAGAAGAACTTGTTTAATAATGCGATGAGTTTATTATCATACTTACTACCCGAAGATATCACAAAGTTCTGTTACAATATTTTAAATGTAATCTTATTTAAACTAAAAGCTCCTCTGGAGACTAGGTGTTTGTAACAAATATGAGATTTAATTCTACCAGGAATTACAAGGCGCCAGAGTGCGTGAGGTCTTCGTCAATAAGTGCCGATAAGCCCATTAAGCATTGTTCCATGATTAACCAGATTTAAGTTATGGCTTATGAATTCTAGGTGCAAATAATTTGCCCTCGCAATGCAAACTGAAGGCGTGATGAACTTGACAGGTAAACTTGAAACCAAGTTGGAAGGAAAACTTGGCCAAAAAAGATACTGAACGGAGGTCAAACGATTCTCAAGTTCTTAACCATATCATGTTTCTCGATGCTGCTATTTAATTTTTATTCTTGATCCCGTGAGCTTTCTACTGCAAAAACTATCTAACCAAGGCAAGTAAGCCACTCGATCTATTGACAACAAACCAATGCGAGCACCACGAATAAGTCACCACGCGTATTAAGTCTTCACACTGCTGCTAACAACTTCCTTCGTTCACACAGATCGTTTATTAGATCTGTTTCATTTGCGAGACACAAAGTAGCGATTCCTGGCCTTTTTAAAATCAAGACATAGTAGCCTAGGCCCCACGCCATATTGCTACTACATGCGCTATTACGTGTTTATTAGTCTCTTGCTCCAATCCAGCGATGGTCGGTCCGAAAGTTCACCATCGATAAACTACTTACCAAAGCCGACGTATTAGGCCAACATTGAAGTCCAACACGATTATAGGAGTACCCTTCGTCCCAAGGACTTATCATTTATCCTAAGTATGGTGTTCCCCGAAAACACCACAGCCACTTCGCTATTTAGAAAGCACTGTACGAAGATTCGTATAGCAGTTCTTCCATTGGCTTTTAGCCGTTTACCCGACCGCAAATGTCCTCTTCGTTCTGTGCATTGTAAAATAACAACATGCGCACTTAAGCTCCTGCTTGATGGCTATCGAAAGTTTGGGTTCACGACACGTTCGTTTGCTGGTGCTACACTACAAACAGGCAGTAAACTACATTCCCGGCTATGCGCTCCGAAGACAGCTTTGGCCCCAGGTTTTTAGTTGCAAATCATCGTCCTCTCACAACTTCCTAAAGCCTGCCTGATAGGTTTTCTCTACCAATAGTTATTTGAACAACAGCTTTGCTTCACCCCCCAATTTGGCACATGTTTGTCTGCTTCAACCGAGCGCCGAATACGAGTCATGTCGATTTTATTCTGAGCTCAGTCTAGAAAAGCCACTTGTATCAGTGGCGGTATAACAAAGAGACCACCCGTCCCCAAAATGC